GGTTTGCTTACAAAGAGCATCTTTCAGCCTTGGTTGACTAAGTGATCCATATGTTCTTCTCACAAAACAATCCCCCCTTTCCCTGATCGTCCAAAGGACAGTCTGAACTCCCAGAGACTGTGCGCAGCGCTCTGGGGCCTGGCTCGTAACCCACAAGGCTTAATTCCTCCTTGGTTGTACTTTGGCACAGAAACTTTAATGGCTCAAAACGCAGCAAGGGAGCCAATATTTCTATTACCTCCCTTCCATCCCTGCTTGCACACACTCTCTCCATGGCACACAGCCTGCTGCAAGGCCATGAGGTATCCATACGCCAGGAACGTTTTATGACGTTCCTCTCCTAATCCATTTGAACCCTAACAATTTGACAGGTCAGGCAGACCTAACAGGTTTTGCCACCAGCTGGTGAAGCAGAACGGAATAGCTCATCCCCCTTTCAGCAGGACCCAAAGGACGAGGAGGCCATCGCAGCCCCCAGCCCTGTGAAATGCACAATTTGGTGGGCTGCTCCAGGGAGACAATGGCCAGTAATCCCGGAGCCTTCCCTCTAATTCACACTCACGTGGACGGGGCACGTAACCTGCCCGTGACTCATCCCGTCCTCAGGCAAACTGCCACGAAGGGAAGAACGTTCGGAACAGCCCACGATGACTCTCCGCTGCTTCGCTCCAAATAAAACAGGAGAAGGAGCGGCAGCTGCGGAGCCTGTTTCAAAACACAGAGCCACGGGTGAAAGGGTGACACAGCAATTCGCCCAGGCCCCAAAACAGAGCCAGGCTCTGACATAAGAAGCCTCTTTTACAACCCAACCTAGCGAGGTGGGGAGCTCGCTGGCCATTTTATCTGTTTTTCTGAGGGACAAGTCAATGCAGAAAAATGTAGTGATGCATCACAGCCAGAAACAGTTGTGTGCAACAGCCAGAATTCCAGAAACTGCCCTCTTTCCCCTTTTCCCTTTTAGCAAAGCAGTGCCGTATCCCAGGGGTTGTTGCTGTTTCAGAGGCAGAGGAGTCCCCAACCTTGCAGATGAGATGAAGGCTCCATGGAGGAAGGACAGTGAGTGGCTACAGCTGGCTAAATATCCATATGGAGAAACGATACCACCTTGACACCGTTGTCCATCAGGGCCCTGAAACCATCCACACATTACCCTGCTCTTACAGTCTTCTCCATATACTGACACATTAGGACAAGAGGAGATGGCCACAAGTCATGCCAGAGGAGGTTTACATTAGATATTAGAAAAATTTTTACATCGAAAGGGTTATCAAACATTGAAACAGGCTGCCCAGGGAAATGGTGGAATCGTCACCCCTGGAGGTATTTAAAAGACCAGGTAGACGTGGTGCTGGTGGGACATGGGTTAGTGATGTTTTTTGTCAGTGTTAAGTTGATGGTTGGGCTCGATGAGACAATTCTTTGATTCCATTCTACATTCTTGCTTAAACCACATTAAACCTCTGTGTTGACACTGCAAGAATTAAAGTAACTTTATTTCTATGTAGCTTCTTTCGCTTTGACCAGGTTTAATGAGCACGCTTTAAATTCACCCTAGTTTGGGTAGTCCAGTTTAACTTGCAAAGATGTCTCTGCAGAGATGAGCTCCTCCATAACAGCTCTTTACCTATCACAGGCATCTCCGCACTTTAGCTTAGTCTGGTTTTGGAAGTGGAAGCTCTGAAAACCCCAAGCAGGAAAGATTAACCTGGCTGGTATTTATCGGGTGCTATCTACATCCCAACTGGAGATGATTTCAACATAAGTGTTGACTGTATCTACTCTCTCCTGCATTTGCCAACATCATCGGATCTACCTAATCCTCTCTCTTCCCAGTCATATCCATCTGGTGAGTTGAGTTGATATTAATGACATAGCACGGGAGAGCAGAGAGACAGAATCACAGAATGATATGGGGTTAGAAGGACCTCTGGAGATCATCTAGTCCAACCCCCACCCAGCTGTATCCCAAATAATCTTGCTTGCTGACAGCACAGGAGCCAGTAAAGCCTGGGCTGTGTTGCACATAGATCACTACCAAAACAGAAGACATGATGGATGTCTTCAGGAGGACTATCAAGCATGTGAAGGGAAGCCCCAGTAAGATGAAAGGAGCTACTGTATCTTTTTAAGTGTAAATTATGCCTCTGCTTGTAAGTATAGAGCAGATTTCCCATGGATTGGAAACCTTGCTTTCGCAGGAACGTCCAAGCTGACTTGTTTCTCCATTAAAGCCTAGTCTTCATCAAACCAAGCAAGTGCTTTACCATTTGAAGGAAGTCTTTGTGCACTTAAGACACTAAGTTCTTAAACCACCACCACCCCCCCCCCCAAGATGGGGCAATTTGCTTGGAGAGTTCACCCTTCTGCTGCAGTACAGGCAGCCACTGTGTTTCAGCTGATGTTCTGGCCCTGGGAGAAGGCTCAAGTCTGCCCAAGGTTATAACCAATAAGTGAAATTAGCAGTGGCTTCATCTCAGTTAACCTCAAATTGCCTATGTCTACACAGGCATGCCTTGAAGCAATTGAACTCGAGCTTTCCCTTGGCACTGGATCAAGCACCATGAATTTGCATCTGAGTTTTAGCTCATACTGCACATAAAATTTACCCAAACAACAGGCATATATGAGCATTTACGATTAGCGTCCCTTCCTTCTTCCTATTTCCACAGCAACTTGCTGGGGAGTGTTTCTGATGGCCTTTTAAAGCACAAATGGTCAAAATATACAAGTATGGTATTTATAGACTGCTATAGGAATAAAAATAAAAGTGTGCTGCTTTGTTGCAAAGCTCAGATTCAGTCTACATTAAGTCACGCTCTTTGCAAGCCCCTCCAGGCAGGGCACAAGATCTTATCTTGTGGATGGAGATTGTATTCACATGTGACACATGGTTGTAACAGGTGAAGACTTAAAATACTTGCAAATTATCCCCTTCACCCTCACCAGTCCCAGCATTTGAGGCACAGAGCTTGCTGGGGCTGCGTTCCTGGATCTGGCTTCAGGTACTGAGTCACAGAATCACAGGGGTTGGAAGGGACCTTCAGAGATCATCTAGTCCAACCGTCCTGCCAAAGCAGGGTCACCTAGAGCAGGTTGGACAAGAACTCGTCCAGGTGGGTTTTGAAGATCTCCAGAGAAGGAAGGAGACTCCACACCCTCTCTGGGTAACCTGTTCCAGTGCTCTGCCACCCTCAAAGCAAAGAAGTTTCTCCTCATGTTGAGATGGAATTTCCCGTGTCCCAGTTTTTGCCCGTTGCCCCTTGTCCTGTCACTGGGTACCACTGAGAAGAGTCCGGCCCCATCCTCTTGACACCTCTCCTTTAGATATTGCATTGATGAGATCCCCTCTCAGCCTTCTCCAGGCTAAACAGCCCCAGGTCTCTCACCCTCTCCTCATCAGAGAGATGCTCCATTCCCTTGATCATCTTTGTAGACCTTTGTAGCCAATGAGTCCCATTGCCTTGCCAACTGGTAGAAACAGGCAGATGGAAAAATCAGTGGTGCTCTAGAGAACTTGGGAGTTTAGCTCATTGCAGCTGGGTGTGGGGCAGGAGCTGGCGATGCAGTGTGTTTATGCAAACTTTGCTCCTGGGGTTGTCCCATGTTGCACCACAACCTGATGACCCATGTGGACTGCTGTATCAGATCTCAAACACTGAGGTTTTCAAAGACCTTGAGTTTTATACAGATCAACATGGTATTTTTTGGTGCTTGAGGGTGAATTAGACTCTATGGGGAGCACAGCCATTGTATTAGTGAGTGGAAACCCCACTCCAAGTTGCACAGCTTGACCCAGCAGCAGGTCCATAGAGACAGCTAAGATTAGCCGAAGCACTGAATAACTCTTGCTCTATGCTGCAGAGGATGGAGGTCTGCTGAAAGTCACTAGATCACAGGTGCTTGCTCTGTGGACTCTGCCCTCATAAAAGTGAAAAGATGTCTCCTCTAAGCATCTATTTCCAGTGGTGAAGATCATGAATTAAATCTTTGCTGTTCTCACTGTGGCTGTTACCACTGTGTGTTAGGAACATCCCTTCTCAGGGGAAATGGGGAATGGAGCAAGAACCCATCCAGCAGCTCATCCATCCTTGTACTCATTAGTTGACTATGATAAGGCCTTTTATGTTCCACAGGCCATGAACCATCCTGTTATCAGGAGCCAAAAAGCAGCTTGATCCAGCAACACAAACACCGACCTGATGGTGTTTCTGGCATTGGATGCATTGGAGAGGCCGGACCATGCTAAGAAATTAATTAATGGTTAACGTTCAGGGTTTGGGGTTTTTTGTGTAAATAGCAATGTCAACAACTCTTTATTCTTGCAAAATATAGCTGTGGGTGTCTCAGGGATAAACCTCTTTCCCTGGTGGCCTCAAACTGGCAGCAATACTTTGCTGAGAGGTGCACACCTAAGAAAACACGCACAGAAAATCACGGAGCTGTAATGTAGCCAGGGACAGACACGTGCCCGGTGCCTTCCCATACCTCCAGGACTTTGATTCGTCGTTCTACGCAACACACTGTGCTTCACCCTGCCAAGCTCTGCAGAAGGACAGCCTGGCCATCACTAGTGATGTGTTAGAAAACTTCAACAAGTGGCACGGCTCCTTGGGATCTGGCTAAAGGAACTCAGACACGGGCCAAGAGTGGAAGGTTGTTTACATGGAGAAGAAGTTATGCTGAGAGACGCTAACCTTCGTTCTCCTCTTTTGGGGATAACGCCCGCTCTGCAAATTTGAGTAATTCATAAAAGTCATACAAACTGAACGATGGCTGGAGGAGGTGGCAGAAATCTGGCTGGGAGGAGAGCACGGGCTGAGCTGTAGCAGATGTCTGCTCAGGCACCACCCAGACAAAATCCTCTTTTGTCTCTCTCCCCTGACAGCACAGAACTCAGATCCACCTCAACATCTTGCGATGTCTGCAAAATGCTGTGAGGTCTTGGCAAAAAGCACTGAGATTCCTGGGATTTGCTTACCTGCATCTGGTAGTTGGACTGCATTTCTCAGGTCAAAAGGAGAGGCTAAGGGTGTTTTTTTTTCAAGTGCACAAGGCCTGAAATCCCCAGTTCCCTCCATCATTTCTGTTTCTTTAGCACTTTGGAAAAATCCTCTTCTGAGTCGATTCTCATTCCCATCAGGAAGTCTTCATTCTTGGATCCAGGTGTAGTGCCATGAATCAGGTACTGTCAAGGAATAACAATCTGTTCCATTAAAATGACAATGTGTCCCCTGCTTTTAAAACAAGAATCATTGGCATTGACACATTTAACAATAACAATATTATTGTTATTGCCTGCTGGTCCCATCCCCCTTCAATCTGTCACTTTCCTCAGTGTCCTTCTGGACACACAGACACCTGCAGATTGTAATGTAATGCTGCTTTCTTATCTTCTGATAAATCCTCCCCCAGACAGACATCATGGCAAGGTATATTTCCTGCCTCTTTTTTCCTTTCAAACCATTATGACCTGGAACAATTTCTATATCCATCGCTGCTGCTAAATTTCAGACCACCTTCCTCAACTGTCTCTAGAGACCAGAGACTGCCACCAGCCTCAACCTGCTTTTTGGCCTGTGTTGTTTCGAAGATGATTTCGCTGCAGAGGCAAAACAGGAGGATGGAAGAAAAGGAGCCACTCATAGAAACTTCCAGAGACTCCTTTCTCTAACCTTCCCAGACCACAGCACTTATGATCAGCATAAGGGTCAGGTAGAGACATCTGGAAGACATCTCCAAGCCCTTCAGAAGCCCTCTGCACCATCTCTGCCTGGCCAAGGTCTCCCCTTGCACCTTGGGCCATGAGAGGCTGCATTGATGTTCTCTAACATTGATGATGGTTCTCTAACAGACAAAAAGCACTTGAAGGAGGAGGGAGCCAGACTCTTTTCAGTGGTTCCCAGTGAGAGGACGGGGGGCAACGGGCACAAGTTGGAACATAAGAGGTTCCACTCAAATATGAGGAAAAACTTCTTCACAGTGAGGGTGCCAGAGCCCTGGAACAGGCTGCCCAGGGAGGTGGTGGAGTCCCCTTCTTTGGAGATTTTCAAGACCCGCCTGGATGCTCCTGAGTAACATGCTCTGACAAGCTCTAGGCAATCCTGCTTCAGCAGGGGAGTTGGACTAGATGATCTCTATGGTCCCTTCCAACTCTAAAAATTCAGTGACATTGAGTGAAAACTCAGTGCTGGATCTCTTTCCCTTGGCATGTTTATAAGGAAGGATGTCAGTGTCCTGCAGTCCTCGCTCACCCAGCACAGAGAAGACGTAGCTTTTGTGCCATTACTCATATAGGCTGCTTGTTCTACCCCTGCAAAACGAGCATGATCAGCCAAAAGAATATCTGTAGTGTTTAAACCCCTGGTGCTGCACCTCTTGGAAACTCTGGGCCAGATTCTGAGCGGGTATAAATGAGTAATAGCACCATCAAAGTTGTTTAAGCTGCTGTAAATCAGGAAGGATCTGGATCCTCTGCCTCTGGTGCATCCCTGCATGTGTTGTGGCTTAATAAGCACTAGCTAAGAATAACATTTAATGTCCCAGCCTGAGCGCTGCGCAGAATATCAAAGTCTTTCACCAGGAGTGCAATAACACCACTTTCTCTGTTCTTCACAGTCATAAAAATGTCCTCACGTCCCACATCCAGGGAAAACAGTGAAGTCACTTATCCCCTAAATTACACTGAAGTCAACAGAAGTGGCGGAGTCTTTGTTTCACCTGATGTTCCACTTGAGAAGGAGCAACTCGAGAGCCTCTGTCATGGCAACTGCCCGTCCCGAGCAGACGAGCTGTCTCCAGGCCTCCCCGATTACATCTTTGCCGTTATAATTCACATCCTGCGCTTATTAGCGATAAGGTCAATAGCAGCAAATACAATGGGAGCTGCTGAAAACTCTTGTTGTTGCACATGCTCCCGATGACACTTGCTGTGCTGCAGAAACCAAAAATAACTTCCTGCTCTCCCAGAGCGGCACGGAAAATATTTCCATGTATTTTCTGGGTTATGGATAACTTCCCTTCTTTAGGTTTATGGTGGGTATTTCTCCAGGGAAGCTGAACACAAATATCCCTTGGGGGCATGTGCCATTTTCCCTCTGCAGGAGTGCTCTCGCCCTGGAGGTCTCCATGCCCTCCTTACAAGGGCAGAAATTCCCTCTCCCTCACTTTCTCTGACTCCTACTTACCCATACACGGCTCTAACTCAGTATTTCTCCCTTTCTTTCCTTTTTTTGTCCAGCATCCTCAGCCTTATCTTCTTGTTGTAGGGCTCCTAATGCTTGTATGAGGGTGTGAGCTCTCAGTGCATGCCCACAGCAGAGAGAGGTAACATTGCTTGTGTCCTCTGTTGTTCCTCCAAATAAAATACACCCAACCCCTGAAAGTCCCAGAGGCTGCTTCCTACTTCTTTTTAGGGCAAGAGGAGAAAGTGCTCCAGGAGCTCCATTTCTTCCCTAAGAGCAACCACATCTGCCGCTGCTAGACAGCACATCAGTGATGGACCAGGAAAATTACTTCTGCTCAAGCGATTTTTGGCTTCTTCTGACACTTTTCCCATTCCTTCCCATTCCTTCCCATGCTGTCACTGCCTTCGCCTGGCTCTGGCTCTGAGTGGCAAATGCAGAGCCTGTCTCTCTGCACTGGCAGCGTCCGCTCTGCTTAAAAGCTCACGAATTATCTTTGATGGTCTGCAAAAGCTATTTGCTTTTGGCGTGCAGCTGTAAACTCCAGAATGGCAGTGAGTGTCAGAGAAGATAGGAATGGGATATGAGAATCCAGACGGGTTGAGAATGAGCAAGAAGCGTATCCAGGGACCTTTGCGAAGGTCAAGTCCTGCAGACAAACCACCACATCATGAAAGCCATTAGCACAAATTGTCTAGTGAAAATCCCAGTCCTTTTACGTGATCATGATGGAAATGGTATGGAATAAGGGGTGGAGAATGTCAAGGTTTCAGCTGGGATAGAGTTAACTTTCTTACTAACAGCTGGTACGGTGCTGTGTTTTGGATTTGGGATGGGAAACAGTGTTGATAGCACACTGGTGGGTTTGGTTGTTGTCTGCTCCTCATACCACCACACCAGTGAGCAGGCTGGGGGTAGACAAGAAGTTGGGGGGGGGAAACAGCTGAGACAGCTGACCCCAACTGGCTTTTCCCCTACCTATTAAACTGTCTTTATCTCAAGCCATGAGTTTTCTCTCTCTTTTACTCTTCTGATTCTCTTCCCCATCCCAACCAGGGGAGTGAGCGAGCAGCTGCATGGTCCTAGCTGCTGGCTGGGATTAAACCACGTCACCACCACGTATTTGAAAGCACAACTCACACACACCAGGGGTGAGCCTAGAACCGCTATTTCAGTGACTCCTGGGGACCTCAGAACCCAGCGAGGCCCCATCATGGTGTCATATGGAGACAGGTGGTAAGTCCCTGACCCCAAGCAGGATAAACAGTCAGGGCAGAGAGACCACAGCAGGGACAGGAAAAGTGTTCTTTTGGGCAGGGGAAGAAGGGATTCAAAGGCCTTTCACTATAAATTCATTCTTGCACTGGCCACAGGGAGGGATTCCTTTGCTGGGACCGATCGGTCTGGCTGGCTCCAGACTCCCAAAAAAAGCATGTGAACTTCTGTGTTTTTAAGCGCGCAAAAGGCTTTGACTTTCTCTGCTCCAGCTGCAAAAACCACCAGCTTTCTTGACAGCTCCAACTGTGGTAATGACTCATTGTCAGAGCAAACATCTGGGTCTCATCTAACATCTGGTGCAGGACAAAAAGGGACCAAGTTATTCTGTAAAGAAACCAACAATGACCTGCCGATCAGGCCAAGAAGAGGAAGGCTTCAAGCTGGTTTGGGCTGCTCCGCAGTCCCTCGAGTACTATTAAAATGTACAAGGATATGCAAGACCTGGAACAGGGATCACATGCCCTTTTCTGACCTCAGATGCTGCATCCAAGTTAGAGATCCTGAGCACCACAACTTGTGAGCAGCCAGCTGCTCGGGAAGCGAGCCTGGATTCAGTAGGAAGGCTTGAATCCTGCAGGGAAGGAGCAGGTCTGTTACTACACACTCACACCCTTCCCCTCCTTAACTCCAACCCCCCAAATCCATAACAGGGCACACAGTCTATGGCCACTTCTCATCCCCATGCGTTGCCCACCAATACCGAGATACAGCTGGCTTCACATCAAACTCCTCCTGTGCTCTTGTCCTCCATCCCAAGTTGGATCTTCTCCAAGTCTATGGCCTCCTACCTTCTTCTCTTTCCTTCTCACCTCAAACCAAGACTTCAGTCCTTATCCTCCGCTTTCCACCTCCGTGACCCTATTTTCTCCCCGGTTCCCTGTCCTCCTCAGAGGAGCCTTCTCTACATCCACCCCATAAAGCTCACCAGCTCCTTTTTCTTTTCCATGCCTTATACACCCTCCATAGCCCAAACTATGGGTGTTTTAGAGCCAGCCCCTCCCAGCGTAGGGAACCATTTGGTTTACTCCTGCTCTTTTATGGGATCAGATGTGACAGCAATGAACACAACAGAAAAGCTCTCACTAGAGGCAATATACAGAGACTGGACTTCAGATCTAATGACTGGGAACCATTTCAAGTGTTAATCATTCTCCTTTGTTGTTCTTTATCCAAGTTGAAGCTAAATCTTAATCTCCTTAATCCCACTATTTCCATGTGAAAGGTCTGCAGGCAATGTGGGAGATAAACTCATTTATTTCTCTTAGAAGTTATGTCAAGGAGCACGACGGGAAGATCGCATAGGCAGGAATTTTTAGCTACAGTCCCCCAGGGTGCGAGAGCCGTGTTCTTTTTTCAAACCTGATTAATTCTGCATCAGTTGGGCACATTACAGACACCATTTTCCTGAAGTCTACAGTGTATTCCCTGGGCCACAGCTGCTGCTTCTGCCACTACTTGCTATTTGTGGAGTGATTGCGTTTGACAAATAGCAATGGGAGAGATTTCAGGAATGACTCAGAGGCAAAGGCAATTTCACATCCAGTTTTACATCCAAAGACAGCTTTTCACTGGTTACAGAAATATGAACGAATGGGGCTTATTCCTGCCCCAGCACCCTCTTGGGATCTTGTTGAATGTCACATCTTGAGCCATGGGTAGCCCATCGCCCTTCAGCTTTTCTCTGCTCCAGGAACAAGGGACAATGACTGTCAAGTCCTCGTCACGTTTCTTGGGTTTCTCCCAGGTTGGTGACAGTCTGATGGTTTGGATGTACCGTTTTTTCCCCTGGCTGAGCTGCCAGTGATGGGTCTATCCATCCTACCTACCTTCATGAGTCACCAGGATTTACTCACTGGCTTTTGTCTCCCAGTCTAGATGTCCTGAGACAGTGCACATAGATGTGCTGGGATCTTGCTGATTTGCTCATCCAGGGGCCATTAAGCACCATCCAGCAGAGCACAAGCTCTCTCTGCCCCATCCTGGGGAGGTCCATAACACACTCACTCCTCCTGCAGATACACGCAGCCCTGCCAGGGTGCTATTTTTTTTTTAATGGTTGGACTCGATGATCTCAAAGGTCCCTTCCAACCATGAAGATTCTGTGATTCTATGGAGATTCTGTGATTCTATCTCTTCCACTCCTCAAAAGCCCAACTAGCCCATGTTCCCTTTAGAAACAAGTTTCTTTCTGTGTTTCATCACCAGAGATAGATGTTGGCCTGCTGTGTGCCACCTCGGAGGAGACAGCACATCCACCAGTTTCACAGCACGTGGTACCACCAGTACAACCTGCCAAGGTCAGCATGGGCAGCAGGGGCATGGTAAGAGCACCCTTAGGCTGTAAGTGATGAATTAGCCACAGCAAGCAACCAACCTGGCAAGAAGAGTGCTCAGGCACCATCAGGGTAATCAGAATTGAGAATGTTCCCCTTCACTTCTTGTCCTTTCCGCAGGGTAGCTTCCAAGCTGCAGCGTTGCCGAGTTTCTGATACAATCCCAGAGCTGGCATCATCCCCAAACAATTAAAAATGGATCCTAAGTGCTTAGTTTCCCAAGCACCCACAATATTAATTACTGGTGACAGAACATCAAGTAGGGTGATACACGGCTGCAGCAGTGACACCCCTGCACCTGCAGGACCCACCTGCTAATGAAGACCTCGAGAGCCCTTGTCCTCCACTGTGGGCAAAGTTGTCCCTGTTGCCACAACCCTGCTCCCCACCGCTGTCTCTGCCTCTGCAAAACAAGTGACATCCTCCATACTGCATACCATGGAGACACAGAGACCTGGGCCAGGCCATGCCTGCCATCACAGAAAACCACCTGGACAGGAGCTGCTGTCACTCCCAGGTTTTAGTTTTCAGAATCTGGTTTGGTCAACATCGCAACAATATTCCAAAAGTTTTGGGGTTTGGCGTTTTTTTTCACTGAAAAAAATTACGTGACAGGGGATATAGAGGAGGATGGGAAGGGGAATTTCTTTTTTTTCTAATTGAGGTTCAGTTCTGACCGCTGCCCTCCAATTTCAGGAGGACTAATAGCAGAGATGATAATTACTAATATGGAGAAGTAACAGTAATTACCAGTAGATATTAACGCCTTTTTCTACTGCCATTGTTATTAATATTAATAGTAGTAATTGTTGTTATTTCTCTGACAATTAGAGGAGTAATAATGTAATTGCTGTTATTATATGCTGTTGTCATTAACCTGTAACCCTGAAGCACCTCAGAGTGCTGGTCATTGGTGAGGACACCTCTGTTCTAGGCTTTCTACAAGCCAAGCCAGACATGGCAGCCCGAGCCTCAAAGCACAAGCCAAGAGGCAGCTTGGGGAGATGCTGAAATGGAGGTGGAGGAGGTGGGGACACAAGATGTCGGTGTCAGCACCCTGGCAAGAGCGAATGGGTGCTTGCAGGTTGGGGAGTCAGGAGATCCAGAGGCGTTCCCCACCTCCACCACAACCTTCCCACATGACGTCCAACAGGCATTTGGAAAGCCGTTGGGGACAGGAGGGAGTTGCTTACAGTGCTTAATTGTAGGTGTCTCCATGGGCGTTAGGTGCCTGATCTCACTTTACAGCCACCAAGGAGCTAATCGGCACTATCAGTGGAGACTAATAAGCAATTTAACTGACTAAATGTAAAGCAAACCCACTAAACATAAGCACCACACGTTATTTGAGATGCTTGGACATACCTCTGTCTGAATCCCACCGAATCTCTTCATGGTGCAGCTCCCCATCAGTTAAATGGAGATGTTATGGCTCACTCCTCTGCAACTGCGTGTCTCCATGTGCCATCCTCCATGATGAGAGGAGTCCAGAGCTCTGTGTTTGACTGAGACATCAATTATATCACTAACAATATAAGAGTTTTGTTTTGTGGTAAAACCAATGACGCTCAGCTCCTGATTTAACTCACAGTGCTGGGCTCCTGTATGAATCTCATGTCTGGATGTAGGATCTCAAGATGACCCAAACGCTATATACGCTTCAACCCATCCTGGAGGCCTACGACATCTGTGGATGAGAAGACAGTCCAGCTACCCATGTTGACCACATCTCTAACTGTAATTCACCACCTACCAGTCAGAAACTTTGCAGAAACCAGTGTTGGTCTTGCAGACCACCCTCTGCTCTCCAGGAGTGACAGATGAGAAAAGGTACTCTTCGTCCTCCGCCCAGGTATGCAGCAGGTTGCACTGGAGACCTCCCAGGGCCCACTCCAATCTGAATTATCCTGCAATTGTAGGTCCTGCAAAAAAGCACGGATTCCCCCATGTGAACATGGTGCCCACTGATGTGGCTTCATGTCATGAAGGACACTTTAAGGGGCAGGTTTGTGTTGATTCCAGAATAACAGCATTTGTGCCATTTGTCCTTTCCTCACATCTCCTCCATGCCAGGAGGCCTTGGGAGGCTCAGCCCTGACAGCAAAGCCCAGGCTGGCCTGGGCAGACCTGGCTGTGGAAAGCCTGCCAAGGCAGGGTGGCTGGAGCACACCACCACCACCACCTCAGTCCAATTCTGGGCAACAGCACAGCAGGGCCTGAGCGTTATCTCTGGCCTCTCTCCAGCAGGTGACTGACCTTCCCGCTTCTGAACAGGGCTTTTGCCAACAGAACACATGATTGGTGTTTATTTGGGAGCCAGGCAGATAACAGCAGTTAACCCGCTGCTACTACAGTTGCCTTTTTTATGTGCTTCGCGAAGATGACAACTTTGAACCCTGGATGTGGCAACACAACCAGTCTGGCTCCCCAACCTGAGGTAGAGTCATAGAATTATGATTCCAACCCAATGGTTTGGGTTGGAAGGGACCCTAAAGATCATTGAGTTCCAACCCCCTGCCATGGGCAAGGACACCTCCCACTAGACCAGGTTCCTCAAAGCCCCATCCAGCCTGGCCTTGAACACCTCCAGGGAAGATGCTTTGATTTTTTCCACATCCAGGTCCTCCCTTCACCGTATCTCATAAGACAATCTCCCTCTGCCTGCCTGCTCTGCCCACACCATGCACAGACACATCTTTCCATGGGACCAAGAATGGTGCAGGAGAGGTATAAAAAACAAAGCTCCTCCACGTTAACGCTCATGATGCTTGTTAGATGGAGTCCCTGATTTCCTCCTCTTGTCCCAGGGCCACAGGAAGGACTCTTTGTTACTCAGCACCCTGTTTAATCATTTACACTAGGGCAAAGTCAAGGTGGGACAGACACTGTGTTCCCAGGACCTGGGTGCCTGGGGAGATGTCACACTGCCAGGATTTCCAGTGTTCCCATCTTGCCTCTGCAGCCCTGTGTCACGCTGACCCAGGGACCCACCTTCTGCTTCAGGTCCTCCTGACAGGCTGGGTTATTTGGAGGTGGTTTCAAACCGCTGTTAAAGTCCACATCCAGCCACAGCTCTCCCAGGTAATGCCATTCCTGTGCTTCACACTATGTGCCTACTTGACCCACACCCAGTTCCTTGCCCTCCCCACCCAAGGAGAAATTAACTCCTTCCCACCCACGGCAAGACTCCCAAGAAGTCACACCCAAGGAGCCTCAGCCGTTACCTGGTGACCTGATAACAAACACAATCTCCATGCCACGATGCTGCTGACACTCTCTCTAAGCCCCAAAGGGTGCCAGTGGGCATCCTGGTCCCATCTCTGAGGTCATCTCCACACTCCCTATTCCCAGTGCCATGAATTTGGGGTGTCCACCTCTCTGGTGGGTGAGCGTCGTGATCTTAGGAGAACTTTTCAGGAGGAGAGATAGTACCTGAGTTATGTTGTGCAGAGGGAACACCTCAGAGAGGTGATACAACATTAACCCATCAGTATTTTGTGCAGAAGCAAGAACCAGCAAGCGGGGCTTGATCTAGGGATCTCTTCACAACATGTGCTGTGGTGCTCTTGACACAGGTCAAGAAGCTCTGCACGTGTCATGTGCTGCTCCCACCCGTTCACAGCTCCAGAGCCCTGAGCATTGTAAACACTGTGGGAACAGGAGCATCTCTAAGACATAAACAGGAAGACAAAGAGAAATTTGTGTGTCATCGATGGGAGGGCCTTGTTTCCAAAGTAACTGGGTGGATCTTCAAACCACTGAGAGCAGGATTGGGAAGGACATGAAGAGGTGACCTCGTCCTTCCCTCTGCCCCAAGGCAAGATCAAGCGTGCCTGAACCAGTCCTGAGAGCACTTGGTTTAACCCGTCCTTGGAACATCCAGGTCCACCACATTTGTTGCCCCCAGCTCTGCCAAGTCCCTGCCTCAGTTTCCTTACTTGTGGAAGGAGAAACGACAAGAATGAGTGGGTTCTTTGCTGGGTTGTTGGAGAGGAAGGAAGAAGGAGAAGAAGGAGAGGGGAACCTTTGGCTAATGGCTGATGATTCGCAATCATCTGGTGAAAAGCATGAAATAAGCATGAAGTATTGTGTGTATGGGTGTTTACACCTCCTGATGTGAGTCTGATACCGCTACAAAGTGGTGTCAGTGTCTTACGCAAGATGGTCCAGGTGTCCACACATGGGCATGCTTGGTTCTTCTCGTGCTCCTCCAAGCATAAGATGGGCATTTGCCTTGCAGAGGAGTTCCCAGTGCCAGGACCATGATGATTTCCAAGGGATACCAGGTGTCTCCTTTGAACTGCAGCTTGTAGCAAGCTTTGGTTTTTGATTCTACTGGGCACAGAAAAGAGTGGGAATCACTGGGCCAGACTTCCTAAAAAAGGCTAATGTTTCGTAGATTGGGCCAGCATCCTACATCAGTGCAGAGAGTGGCAAGAAGATTACTCTTTGTGTCCAATACTGCATATATCTGACACTTGTGTGAGCACACGATTGCAAGTCCCCTCAAAAAGGTGGGTTTTTATGGCACTAATTGTGATACCCTCCAGCTTTGGACTCTACTGCCTTGGAAGACTTCCTGAGTCCAGGTCTTTGGTCAAGACCAAATCAACACTTTGCCTGAATCAATAATTCTCAATCCTGTACAAAATCGTGCCACTAGTTTGGGCTTTAATATAAATATTGCATCAAGGCAGGCCTCAGGCAGGCTCTGTGGGCAGCAGACATCTCACAGATGTCTACCAGCCCCTCCTGACATTGCAGGATCTGCCGAACATCTCCAGATTCTCAGTGTGATTCTCCAGTGCCTCGTATTAAACATTATGGTTTCTCCTTGTTCAAGGAAGTACCATTTCCTACCCAGCCATGTGAGAGGGAAACAGACACCATCTCTCTAGTAGAACCTCTCAGCTTGAGCCAATGCCTCAATGACTATGTTAGATGTACCAAAAAGCAAGAAGAGGGCCTGTTTGGAGACAGGAGGTGGTGAAGGCTACAACACGGGCTGTGGTTCAGAGCTCTTTGGGTGCTGGGGCTCATTCGGAGGCGCAGGCTGATTTCAGGCTGGCTGAAATCACTATCCCATGGGCTGCACCTTCTCTGGAAAATGTGGGGAGCCACAAACAAAGCAAGGCTGAAAACCAGGCTTTTAAGCCCAGATTCTCTCCTCCACTGTAACAAGCATTCAAACATACAGCCCAGAAACCTCCAGTGACTCCAGTTTGCCAAAGGAGCAGGGGGAAAAAGCAAAGAAAAGTAGGATTTTTTTCTCTAAATTGCACAATAGTTTTGCCACCTGCCAGCAGACCAGAGCAAACTTAGCTGAAGCTGGTTTGGTGTCCTATACCTTATTATTTTCCTAATTTAGCTCTTAAGTCACTGCTCCAGTCACTACTTAGAACACTAAACCTGTGTCATTAAATAATCTCACTGCCCTCCGGGGAACAGTTAAGATTCAGGATGGCCTCCTGGCATTACTGTGCAATTTAGCTCTGTTTAATTCCCGTTAGCTGAGAAATATGATGAAAATGTATCTAGTAGACCAGCGATCAGCAACACAGCTTCTATTCTTGACAGATGCACAAGCTCAACTTTCCATTGATAGTAATTGCTGAAAACTAGGGCCTCGTGATTTATCCAAGGCTCTTAAGAGCTTGATATCTGCTCTTCTTCCGGCATGGAAATGCAAAGTTTAAATATAAAACCTGCCTTGAAAAGTTCTCTGCAATCCAATCAGCCAGTAAATTTCTTACAGATGATAGCACGCTGATCCTGGCATAATCCAATGTTTCATAAATGTCTTAAAAGATTAAGGCATCATTTTCTGCCCAAATGACAGAGGAGATTCACATCTCTGCAGAGTAAACACTGGCAACAGCCTTGCGTAAGTGCCAGCAATATTGCTAAAATTCTCCTCTGTGCTTCTTTACAAGGGCAATTACATAATCAGAAGCCTTCATCTATCAAAAGCGATCCTTTTCATTAAACAAGATGCTCTGGTGTAAGTGCACAAGCGCACAGCGAATGGGAAGGAAGGGAAGGTAGTTGGATTGCATCTCCTGACAGACTGGGAAAGAGGATTTTTAACTGTTTAATGACTCATCCCCGCTTGCTCTTTTCTCCTGTTCATTTCTAGCTCCTGTTTCAAGGAGTGCACTGAGACTCTGACTCATGAAGCATGGTCCCCAGCATGTGAGGGACATAGAATCATGGAATGGTTAGAGTTGGAAGGGACCTTAAAGATCATCCAGTTCCAACCCCCTGCCATGGGCAGGGACACCTCCCACTAGACCAGGTTGCTCAAAGCCTTATCCAACCTGACCTTGAACACCTCCAGGGATGGGGCATCCACAAGTTTCCTGGGCAACCTGTTCCAATGCCTCCCCATCCTCACAGTAAAGAATTTCTTCCTATTATCTCATCTAAATCTACCCTCTTCCGGTTTGAAGCCATTACCCCTTGTCCTATCACTACATGCCCTTGTAAAAAGTCCCTCCCCAACTTTCCTGTAGGTCCCCTTCAGGTACTGGAAGGGGCTACAAGGTGTCCCTGGAGCTTTCTCTTCTCCAGGCTGAACAACCCCAACTCCCTCAGCCTGTCCTTACAGCAGAGAGGTTCCAGCCCTCTGATCATCTTCGTGGCCTCCTCTGGACCTGCTCCAACAGGTCCGTGTCCTTCTTATATTGGGGGCCCCAGAGCCGGACACTGTACTCCATGTGGGGTCACACCAGAGCGGAGCAGAGGGGCAGAATCCCCCCCTCTCCCTGTTGGCCACGCTGCTGGGGATGCAGCCCATCTGGGGATGTGGTTGACTTTCTGCTGTGAGCAAACGTCGCTGGCTCACGTTGAGCTGCTCTCAATCTATTCTCTGCCCAGCCTGTATTTGTGCCTGGGATGGCCTTTGTAAAAGACAAGAATTGTACCTGCAAAGGAGAAGGGGGTAGGAGCAAGACTCAGCGTCTGAAAGAGGTGCTGAACTGCCAAAGAAGCCTCACTTGATGCTCAC